AGACTTAATAGTAATTTCACTTTCCACAGTTGCAGTTACCCAAAGTTAACTTAAGTCAAAAAATATTAAATGAAAAATTCAAAATAAACTATTCGTAAATTTTAGATTGTGTGCCATTATGGGTGGCATAATGAAATCTTGTGCCATCTCACTCCTTCCCACCCGGGACATGAATCATCCCTTTGTCCAGAGTATCCACGCTGTCTACACTATCCACCCATTACTCACTTAGCTGCCGTCTCAGTTACCAGATCGAAAAAACACAGAATATGTAGGGAAGACAGTATATGTAGGGATCCGTACTATCTGTGGATTCAGGCATCCACTGGGGACTACTGAATGATACAGTATGGTGGGAGAATTGATATCTTACCCCAACTCTATCAGATGGAGAGGCTGGATCAAAGTCCCCCCAGGTCCTGGCAGCTTTCCCTGACCCACGCTATTTTTAAACGATTCCTGCTTAGTTGCTGAAGGATAACAACATGGACTTCCTTTGTTACTGTGTCTCTCTGATAGAAGGGAGTGGGTAAGCCAGAGCTGGAGATTGGGTGGTCAGTTCCTCCTGAAACGGTATCATCAATACTACTGTACTGTGGGAAACCAGAAGGGTGCCTAACCAATTTGCGGGGAGGGGTAAAAAGGATGCCAGAGAAGGCTTCCAGGAGAAAGGAGGAATTAGCTAGGTTGGAGAAACAGAGAAGAGAAAGGGAGTTCCAGGAAGAAGGAACTTGTGCAAAGAAAGGCTCAGAGGCAAGGAAAGGGAGCCACAAGTAGTTTGGAATGGGGAATTTGAGGGGAGGGTGTTAAGAGATAAAGAGGGCCAGCTGAGGTGGCTCACGCCTGTAATCCCAGCACTTCCAGCACCTTAAGAGGCTAAAGTGGGAGGACTGCTCCACCCCAGGAGTTTGAGACCAGCTTGGACAACATGGCAAAGCCCTGTATCTACCAAAACAAAAACAAAAATCAGTTGGGCGTGGTGGCACACACCTGTAGTCTCAGCTACTCAGGAGGCTGAGGTGGCAGGATCCCTTGAAGCTGGAAAGGTCGAAGCTGCAGTGAGCCATGGTTGTACCACTGTTCTGCAGCTTGGGGAACAGAGTGGGACACACACACACACACACACACACACACACACACGAGATAAAGAGGGAATATGTTAGAGAAGCTGGGAGAGGGGACAGATCATAAATGGCATTGCCACCCGCGTTTGGATTCCCCTGAGGGTAACAGGTATCCACAGAATACCTCTAGCAAGGGAGTGACAGGATTAGAATTGTTCATTGAACACTGAGAAATCCTACTCAAAAAAAAAGAAAGGAAAGAAAGAAAGAAAAATAAATAAATAAATAAATAAAAAGAAAGAAAGAAAGAATCCAAGACAGGGGAATACAAAGGGCTGCTGTAGTGAGGCCTAAGAGAACCCTTCCAAGTTAGCCAGCTCCAAATTGGGAAAATTGAGGTAGGCAGCTTTGGTGGGGTGCCCCGCACCCTCTTTTCTTGCTCCCTCTCTGCAGTCATTCTTTCCCCCTAGGCTGCCTGCTAGCTGTTCAGGATCCCCAAGGCAGTATCTTCACCCAGGACTCTGCTTGCTGACCTGCAACAAGCTTCCACCTTCTCAGCCTACTCCCCCGGAACCCACTCACTCAGGGGGGATATACAAGCACTTACCATGGGTAAGGCAGTGTGCTAGGTCCCGTGGGGAGAAAAAAAGCAAATACCCAATGGTCTCTGCCCTATAAGATCAGGCCCCATAGCATAGTCAGGGCTCTCACTGCCTGTTTTCCGCTAAGGAATGCTAGTAAAAGGGCAAAGCCCAAACATTAGGCTATCTTAGGTATTTACCTGTGTCCTGGTTTTGATTACATCACTTACCTTCTCTGGGCCTGTTTCCTTACATAGAAAATGAAAGGGTTAGTCTGGCTGGCTTCTTTTCCAGTCGGGGCTTCTTGAGCCCTTCAGTCCTCAGAGGCAGTACCCAAGAACATTCTTGGTAGTTGGGTTAACAGAAATCTCATATCCAAAGGTGGCGAGGCTTCACACCATCACTCCATAACTAAAGTTTTTGCATTGATTTGTTATTGCATTAGCTTCTGGCAGGAGTTACCTAGTGCAGCAACACTGCTTATTTCCTGCTGATCAGAATTTTTAGTTGGCAGCCATATAGATCTGACTAATAAAAAAGCCAAATGAATTATTATTTTTAAAAATTACGTTAGTTGAAAAAAAATATTTTAAAACATGAGGGACAAATTGATGAAAAGATCAGGAATCATTAACAGATAGCTAAAGTTCCCCTCCAACTCTAAAAATCCTATGATTCTGAGCTGATGAAGTATGCTATTATGTTAATTTATTATACTCATCAGGTAACATGAAATTTTTTTTTGAGATGGAGTCTCACTCTGTCACCCAGGCTGGAGTGCAGTGGCTTGATCTTGGCTCACTGCAACCTCTGCCTCCTAGGTTCAAGCCATTTTCATGCCTCAGCCTCCCAGGTAGCTGGGATTACAGGCATGTGCCACCCCACCCAGCTAATTTTTGTATTTTTAGTAGAGATGGGGTTTCACCATGTTGGCCAGCTGGTCTCGAACCCCTGACCTCAGGTAATCCACCCACCTCAGCCTCCCAAAGTGTTAGGATTACAGCACCTGGCCACATGAACATTTTAAAGGGAGATGTTTGTAATCTAATAAGACTAACTGTGAAAATTCATGAATAAATTTGGAGAAACTAGAAAACCAGGATCACTCATCGAATGACACTGATGACCTCCTTAAAGGGTTGACCCAGGGCCACTGGGACCACTTCAGCCCCAGAAACACCTGTCACTGTTTTTGAAACTTAATGGACAATACACTTTAGCAGTGCCTTCAATGACATGAAAGCAGGCAGCACCCCCATCACAGACCTTCCCCTCAGGAGGTTTCAGAGAACCCAACACTTTGAGGAGAGTCTTCTTAGATGTTTTCCTCGAGACTGCAGCTCCTCACCCTTCCTTTCCACTGGTTTTAAATGTAACACTGTAGGCAGGTTGAACCAAGGGGAGCAAACCCAGGCAAGCCCCTTTCCACTGCCTCCCTTAGGGTCTCTACTTACCTCTATCACTGTTTTAGCCCTGAACTACACTTCAGGGTTGGCTTGGCAGAGGCTTTTTGGGGAGCAGGGATAGTGTAAGAGGCCAAAAAAAGAAATCAAAAAAACCAACCCTGTTTTTCTCCTTTTAGTCACACATTCAACACAGAACATTTCTGTGACCAGATACAGGGGTGAGGGGCCCTGGGGGGTAAGTTCCTCACACACCAAGCGATTGTCCAGTGGACATTGGCTCAGCATTCTATAATTCAATTCGATTCTGATTCCGACACTAGCTATCCGGAGATAGTGTCAGATTCCACAGGGTAAGGGCTTGATCCCACTAGACTGCCACCCTTCAGATGCCAATTGCAAGTAGTAGATTTCACCTATACTTCTGACTCACCACTTACAGACTGAGGCTCCTACTACTCCCTCCTTGGGTCTGATTAATTTGCTGAGAAGGCTCACAGACCTCAAGGAAACCTTTACCAGTTTATTATAAAGGCTAGTACAAAAGATACAAATGAACAGACAGATGAAGAGATGGATAGGGCAAGGTGTTGGGGTGCAGAGCTTCCATGCCTTCTCTGGGCAAGACACCCTCTTGGCATTTCCACATGTTCAGCAACCCTGAAGCCCATCAACTCTTGTTGTTCAGTGTTTGTAGAGCTTGATGTCCAGCACCTCCCCTCCCCCTTTCCTGGAGGTTGGAGAGTAGGGATAAAAGTTCTGATCCTCCAATCACTTGGTCTCTCTGGTGGCTGCCCCATTCTCAGGTTATCTAGGGCCCCCATCCTAAATCACCTCCTTATTATAAACTCAGGTGTTGTCAAAGGGGGCTTATTCAGGAAATCCAAGGGTTTTAGAGGCTATGACAGGAACGAAGGACCAAAGGCCAATTATATTTCATATTATAGATAATATGATAGCTATGTCACACCCTCATCTCAGAAGTCCATGATGGTGTAATAAGATCAAGAAGGTCTTAGCACATCTAGCTCTGAGTAGGCATTGGGAGTGAGGCTTTAAAGTTTCTGCAAAGTGGAAGGATTGGGGGTGGGGGTGGGGAAACAGACCATCTGTTCCCAAATCCTTCAGATAATCTCGTTATCAGTGAGATTCTTTGATAACTTTGGCTTCAGTCAGCAACCAGCATGTTTCATTGTAAAGGCCTGAACATTATAAAATCAAAGTATGATACAAATCGTTCTTCAAGCCGCTTTCAAATTGACCCAAGACATGACCTCAACACCTTATACTGCATTCAAATCTGCTAAATGTCCCTTCGCAAGTTTTCTCTTTTCTCTCTGAAAGGCAACCGCACTTTCCCAACCCTATGCTCTTAAGAGTTGGTAAAGGGAGAATTTGGTTTATCCAATAATCAGATTAAGAAAGGTATCCCATTTTTTTTTTTTATCCCCTCTAACACGCTCAGCATGAAGAAAGGTATCCCATTTCTAAGGTAGGAGAGCAGGAATCTTAAGTTGAGGTATCCCTGGTACTAAATATGCCATCCTCTGTGACAAGATGGAGATGACAGCCGAGCTTCAGGGTGGAAAGACCCAACCTAGTGAGAGGAAAACGGGCCTCTGGTGAAGGCACCGGGTTCTACGCTAGGGATGAGGGGACAGGCCTCTGCCTGGCCTGAGACAGGAGGAGGAAACTGAGGCATTCGCACTTTTATGGGGCGATCACAGTCCCTGCAGAGTGTGGCAGAGCCGGGAAGAAAGAACCGGAGGTAGAGTCCCACGCCCACCCACTCTCCCCTCCCCTCCCCTCCCCTCCCCTCCCTCCGCGGCCCCGCCTCCCACAAGCCGCTTCCGGCCGAGAGGGGGCGCCTGCGGGCTCCAGGCGCGCCTGCGCAGGGAGGGTGGGTCAGCGCGTTGCTTCTGGCCGGGAGGCGACGCCTGTGGGCTCCAGCCGCGCCTGCGCAGGGAGAGCGGGTCGGCGCGCCGGCGCAGTGCCGCCGTCACAGGCTGAGTGCTGCGGCGCGATCCTCGCTTCCCAGAGTGTTGGCCCGGGAGGAAAGAAGATGGTGCTGGATCTGGATTTGTTTCGGGTGGATAAAGGAGGGGACCCAGCCCTCATCCGAGAGACACAAGAGAAACGCTTCAAGGACCCGGGACTAGTGGACCAGCTGGTGAAGGCAGACAGCGAGTGGCGACGATGTAAGTACCGGGACGGGCGGGTTACTCCCTTGGTCCTAAACCCAATTTTATCTCTCAGCTCCAGCCACCGCTCCTGAGGCCACAGCTTCCACCCTTCGTCAGATCCCCTCCCAGGCTGCGGTGGCTCTGAGGTTCTCCCCATCCCCGAAAACAGCCGGGGATCCGAGGTTGTCCCCACTTTCTCCTCCACCCGGGCGGTGCGAGGTCCCTTACACGCGTGCTCAGTGCGGCTCGCTGCCTGTGTGCGCACGCGCATCGGATGCTGTCAAGTCTTCCTGCCCCACGGGTAGCCAGAGCTTGCCGGGGCGGGAGGTTGTGGGGTCGGGGCCGCTTTCCTAACACGAATCTTTGGTCGCTCCCAGTCTTTTTCTTATCTTCAGCAAGGCCAGAGTGGTCTTCCTTTGATTAGATAGGATCAAAGGCTCCTTCCTGAGGCTGTCACTTCTGCAGCACAGTAGATTGATTCCTTCCGTAAACGGAAGCATTTAGGGGCGTTGGAGGCCGCTCTTGGCCAAATTAAATGATCCTGAAGCTTTTGGGAAGGCCATCTCCCTGACCTGTGGGCATACCTTTAAGAATCGGAAAAGTCTTTTCCGTGGTAGATCAGAGGTGAGAGGAGTGGGGAGGAAAGAAAAAGATTGTAGTGACTGAGGTTGTTTAATTGTGATTTGTGGAAGTTTTCCTTTAAAGACATGGCAGAGTTGGGTTAGAACCTAGAACTGCCGGATCTTGGAGTCATTTCGGGCATCTTTATGAAGCTGAATAAAATCATAGAACCCTCTGCCCTTCAATCTCTGCCTGTATTAACTGGAGTGGTCACTGTTTGGGCAGATGCTGTCGAGTACATGTGATTCGATTTGTCTGATGCAATAGGTCTGCAACCGTCTGGGAGCCAGGTTGATGACAGAATACTACAGAGGCAGCCGCTTTCCAAGAGTGTGGTAGATTTCTACTAGGAAATTGATTTTCTCCTGTTTGTAAGGATCTTGGGTGTCAAAAGAGTATTTGCTAAACTTGAGTTGTGTGCTGATTCTGTATGTCTTAGGCCCACTATTGTAGTAGTTTGTTTGATTGTGAGATGCTACACTTGACCCGAAGTTTTGAGTTGAAATGAAATTTAATGTTGCCACATTCTTTGTTTAGGATAAAACTAGCCTGAGCACTGTTCTACTGAATCTGAAGTCAAGAGTATCATATTTTTGTGTCAGTCCAGCCCTGAGCCAGTGCCAAATGACTTTGAATGTGTTAGCTACTCTTTTGGGTACAATGTCCATATCTGAGGAATTTGTCCCTTATCTGACAAGTAGATAGGTAGTGAGTTCTTCAGGGACAAGGATTGAGTTTTATTCATCTGTATATCCCAGTTTTTAGGATATACATATACACATTTATACATAAAATCCCAGTAACTCCCACTGCACCTGATCCTTGGTAAAGCCTTGATAAAGATTTGTTTGGAGGAGTTCAGGGCACTTTACATTCTCTATGAAAAGTAGTTTATGTAGTTTATTTTCTTTTTTAAAAAACTTAATCCCAAATGTGAAGTTGTTTCTTTTCTTTTCTTTTTTGAGACAGAATCTCTGTTACTCAGGTTGGAGTGCAGTGGCACCATCTCAGCTCACTGCAACCTCTATTTCCTGGTTTCAAGAGATTTTTGTGCCTCAGTCTCCAAGTAGCTGGGACTGCAGGTGCACACCACCACACCAAGCTAATTTTTGTTTTTTGTTTTTTAGTAGAGATGGGGGTTTCACCATGTTGGCTAGGCTGGTCTCCAACTCCTGACCTCAAGTGATCCACCCACATCAGCCTCCCAAAGTGCCGAGATTACAGGTGTGAGCCACTGTGCCTGGCCAGTGGTTTATTTCCAGTGAATCTATTAATTGGATTCTTTTCTATTTGACAACCCTTTCCAATATTCTGTTTGCATCCAAATGGAGTTTATGTTTTTTCCCAAGTTCCCAACTGCCCAAGGTGGACATTGACAGATTTGTATCAAGGTTCTTTGTGTCTTTAACTTCAGATCAGAGGATAGAGTTCTTCTCTCATTGGCTTGAACAAGGGCTTATAATAACAAAGCCACATTAAGAACTCAGACCATGCTCCCTAATTGAAGACACACAGCAAGCTTCAAGTCCTCCACTACATCAATACCAATTTGTCTTTCTGTAGACTTCCAAGGTGCCATTAGAGTTCCTTGGAGAACACAGGAGTCCAATATAACTTGGAGTCATAATACCACATTGAAACTTATAACTCTTCTAACTCCAGAGATTTCAACTGTGGTTTCTTCTTTTTAATTCAGAGTAGTGTAATGACTCTACACTGGGGCATAATTGTCTTGGCCCACTCCCAAAGCAAATAGATTTCCACGTATCTGGAAATCTGCTGCAAACCACAAGAATTCTATCCTCCCTCAAAAAGTGCTATCCAGAGTGTTTTTTTTCTTTTTGCTATCAATTGAAAATTGAAGTTGTTGTTTCCTCTTTTTTTTTTTGAGACAAGGTCTCACCGTGTCACTCAGACACAATCACGGCTTGCTGCAGCCTCGATCTCCCCAGGTTCAGATGATCCTCCTGCCTTGACTTCCGAGTAGCTGAGACTACAGGTGCAATGCCACCGTTCCTGGCTAATTTTTGTGTTTTTTTGTAGAGATGGAGTTTTGCCATGTTGCCTAGGCTGGCCTCAAATTCCTGGCCTCAAGCAATCCTCCCACCTCTGTCTCCCAAAATGTTGGGATTACAGGCATGTAAAACAGGTCGTTATCATTGTTTTCCCCAGCAACTGGAATAGGAATAGCCTTCTAGCCGGGCGCGGTGGCTCACGCCTGTAATCCCAGCACTTTGGGGGGCCGAGGCGGGTGGATCACGAGGTCAAGAGATCGAGACCATCCTGGTCAACATGGTGAAACCCCGTCTCTACTAAAAAAGTACAAAAAATCAGCTGGGCATGGTGGCACGTGCCTGTAATCCCAGCTACTCAGGAGGCTGAGGCAGGAGAATTGCCTGAACCCAGGAGGCGGAGGTTGTGGTGAGCCGAGATCACGCCATTGCACTCCAGCCTGGGTAACAAGAGTGAAACTCCGTCTAAAAAAAAAAAAAAAAAAAGGAATAGCCTTCTATCTGCCTTCAATTTTACTCCCATCTCACCAGGGCATATAATTTTCTAGAATGTAAATCTGATCATTTTACTTGCAGGCTTAAGTTTTGCAGTGACACTCATACTTTAGAGCAGCACTGTCTGATAGGAATAGAATATTAGCTACATGTGTACAGATGCTCCTTGACTCAGGATGGTTTTATGTCCCAATAAATCCATCAGAAGTTGAAAATATTGTAAGTAAGAAATGCATGTATTAACACCTAGCCTTCTGAATATCATAGCTTAGCCAAGCCTACCTTATACGTGCTCAGAACACTGACATTAACCTACAGTTGAGCAAGATCATCTTACACAAACCCTATTTTATAATAAAGTGTTGAATATCTTAGGTAATTTATTACTATTTCATAAAGTTGAACCATCATAAGTTGGCGAAAGTGTCATTGTTAATTTGTTTGTATCCAATCTAAAAAATACAAAGAGCAACAGATGAAACTTAAAAATATATAAAATACATATATATTTTTAAAAAGGTGTGTGTGTGTGTGTGTGTGTGTGTGTGTGTGTGTGTGTGTGTGTATGTTTTTTAGACAGTGTCTCGTTCTGTTGCCCAGGCTGGAATGCAGTGGCATGATCACAGTTCATTGCAGCCTGGACCTCCTGGGTTCAAGTGGTCCTCCCACCTCAACCTCCTGAGTAGCTGAGGCCACAGGTGTGCACCACCACACCCGACTAAATTTTTAATTTTTTGTAGAGGCAGCGTCTCCCTTTGTTGCCCAGGCTGGTCTTGAACTCCTGGACTCAAGTGACCCGTTTCAACCTCCCACACTGCTAGGATTACAGGTGCGAACCACCACACCCAGCTCCCAAATTATATTTTCAATATATAATCAGAATTTTAAAATTACTAAAGCTACTGAGATACTTTATTTTTTGTGAGGGGGCAGGGGTACAAGTCCTCAAACTCCAAAAAGTATGTTTTAGATTTAAAGCACATCTCAGTTCAGGTGCTCATTTCAAATTTCAAATGCTCCTAGTCGCATGATATTAAAAGCTACTGTATTGGACAGTACAGCCTTAAAGCATAAAAATCTAAATTTCTGAACACAATTTACAAAGTCCCCCATGACTTCCTAGCCTCGCCTTCTACCACTCCCCAAATAGGGCCTCCGCCCTTTGCTCTAGCTTGTGATGCTACTCCTAGACTCTTTCACACTTCTGTGACTGTTGCCTCTTCCTGGCATGTTCCTTTTCAGGGTGTGCTGTTCCCCCTTCCATCAGCCCTCTTGGCCACTCAGCTGCTGCTGTAGTGCTACCTCACTTGTTGAGTGCTCTCCTTATATTATCTTACAAATCTCTTACAGCATTTATACTATTCCTGCATATACCCTTCAAAAACCTATTTTTATTGACATATATACAGTAAAGTACACAAATCTTAGTATACAGCTTGATAGGTTTATAAATCTGTACATACATGTGACATTCAGATCAAAATATAAGACATTTTCAGCACACCAACAGATTGCCGTATGCTGCCTCCCAGTCAGCCCCTCCTCCAAAAATAATAGTACTCTTACCTCTGTCACCATAAATTCCTTTGCCTGATTTTGAACTTCATATAAATGGACTTATGTAGTACATACTTTTGTATATGGCTTCTTTCAAGAGTATGTCTGTAAGATGCATCCACGTTGCTAACATGTAGCAGTAGTTGGTTCTCTTCATTGCTATATAATAGTCCACTATGTAAATATGCCAATCAATTCTACTGGTGTATTATGCCAGTCAATTCCACTGGCATATTTACTTCATGACATTTGGATAAACTGGGCTGTTAGCAGTTGAGGGCATTATGAACTAGCTTCTATGAGATTCTTTTTTAAAAAATTTTTGGCCAGATGTGGTGGCTCAAGCCTGTAATCCCAGCACTTTGGGAGGCCAAGGCGGGTGGATCACGAGGTCAGGAGATCAAGACCATCCCGGCTAACATAGTGAAACCCCGTCTCTACTAAAAACACAAAAAATTAGCCAGGCATGGTGGCACATGCCTGTAGTCCAAGCTACTCAGGATGTTGAGGCAGGAGAATTGCATGAACCCAGGAGGTGGAGGTTGCAGGGAGCCAAGATCAAGCCACTGCACTCCCGTCTGGGCAACAGAGTGAGACTTCGTCTCAAAAAAAATTCTGATTGTAAATTAACAAATTATACTTGTATACATATATATAGGGTACAATGTAATGTTATGAGTTACGAATACCATGTGGAATAAAAAAGCAAGCTAATTAACATATATATCACCTCTAATACTTATATTTTGTGATAAGAACATATGTGTATTCTTTTTTTTATTTTTATTTTTTTTAAGACGGGGTTTCACCATGTTGGTCAGGCTGGTCTTGAACTTCCAACCTCAGGTGATCCGCCCACCTTGGCCTCCAAAGTGCTTGGATTACAGGCGTGAGCCACTACACCCGGCCCATATGTGTATTCTTATATGTGTCTTTTGGTAGGCATAAACACTCATTTCTGCTGGGTATGTACCAAAGAGAACTGCTGGATCATAGGGTGGGCACATGTTTAGATTTAGTAGATAATACCAAGTAGTTTTCCAAAGTGGTTATAATGACCGATATTCCCATCAGCAATATCTAAGAGTTCTAGTTTCTCCACATTCTTGCCAGTACTTGACATTGGCAGTCCTTTTAATTTAGCCTTTCTGGTAGATATATAGTGGTGTCTCATTGTTATTTTAATTTGCATTTTCCTGATGACTAAAGATATTGAGCGCTTTTTCCTAAGTTGATGGCATTTGGATAGCCTATCTTGAGAAGCACCCGTTCAAGCCTTTTGACCAATTTTTATTTGTCTTCTTCTTAGTGGTTTTGTAGGAATTATTTATATAGTCTGTATAGAAGAATACCTGTGAGATACAGATACCTGACATCTGCTCTCCCATTTTGTGGCTTGCCTTTTCATTCTTTCAGTCTTGTGATGAATAGAAGTTCCTAATTTTAATGAAGTCTAATTTATTAACTTTTCTTCTGTGATTTATCTATTGTGTTTTGGAAATCATGTTATGTGTTAACCACCAGAAGAGATTCTCCAGTTTTTTGGGTTTTTTTTGTGGAAGTTTTATTTCTTTTTTTTTTTTTTTTTTTTTTTTTTGAGACGGAGTTTCGCTCTTGTTACCCAGGCTGGAGTGCAATGGCGCGATCTCGGCTCACCGCAACCTCCGCCTCCTGGGTTCAGGCAATTCTCCTGCCTCAGCCTCCTGAGTAGCTGGGATTACAGGCACACGCCACCATGCCCAGCTAATTTTTTGTATTTTTAGTAGAGACGGGGTTTCACCGTGTTGACTAGGATGGTCTTGATCTCTTGACCTCGTGATCCACCCGCCTCGGCCTCCCAAAGTGCTGGGATTACAGGCTTGAGCCACCGCGCCCGGCGGAAGTTTTATTTCTTTACCTTTCACATTTAGGTATAAGATTTATTTAATACTAATTGTGGTGTATTATGTGAGATAGATCAATTTTTTTTTTAATGTGGAGGGTCAATTGCTCATGATAAAAATGCAACAAACTAAAAATAGAAGGGAGCTTCTTAATCTGATAGTAGGTACTTATAGTAAAACCCATAGCTAACATTTTTCTTGATGAAATATTGAATGCGTTCCTCTTGAGGTTAGGAACAAGATAAGCATGTCTGTTATCACCTCTTCTAATCAACATTATGCCAGAGGTTCCAGGCAGTATGAATGAGGCAAGAAACGGAAATAAAAGCTTGAAATGGAAGAAACTGTCATTATTTGCAGATCACTTGTGTATGCAGAATCTGAACTATTAAAATTAAATAACTTTAACAAAATCACTGGATACAATACACAGAATCAAAGGTACTTCTATATACAAGTAACAGTTTAGAAGCATCAGGTACATAGAGATACACCTAATAAATAACATTTAAGACTCATACACTGAAAACTATAAAACATTGCTGAGAGAAATTAAAAATAATGAAGGGATATATTATATTCCTTGATTGAAACATTCAGCATTGTTACAATATTCAGTTTTCTTTTCTTTTTCTTTTCTGATATAGTCTTGCTCCGTCACCCAGGCTGGAGTACAGTGGAGTGATCTCGGCTCACTGCAGCCTCCGCCTCCTGGTATCAAGTGATCGTCCCACCCTAGCCTCCCAAGTAGCTGGGACTACAGGCACATGCCACCATGCCCAGCTAATTTTTATTTATTTATTTATTTATTTATTTATATTTTTGTAGAGACAGGGTTTTGTAGAGACTGCCACATTGCCCAGGCTGGTGTCAAATTCCGGGGCTCAAGCGATCCACCCACCTCAGCCTTCCAAAGTGCTGGAATTACAGGCATGAGCCACCGTGCTTTGCCTTCTTTCTTTTTTTTTTTTTTTTTATGCTCCCAGTACCTACTGTGGTGCCTTGCCAATAGGAAGGAATCTCAAAATCATTATAAATTTACAGGAAGTTGCAAAAATAATAGTGAGGTCTTGTTTTCCCCATTGATAACATCTTACATAACTAGTACAATATTAAAACCAAGAAATTGACATTGCTACAATCCACAAATCTTATTCAGATTTTGCCAGTTTTACACGTGTGTGTAGTTCTGTGTGGATCTTATCATGTGTAAATTTGTGTAAACACTGCCACGCTCAAGTTACAGAACTATTTTGTCACCACAAAGATCCTTCTTGCTATCTTCTTGTAGTCCATTCCATTTGGCCTCCATCTTACCGCAGCAACAACTAATCTATTATCTATCTCTATAATTTTATCAATGTTAATAAGTGAGAAAATAGTGATATCGTTTTGCATTGAAGTTTCGTTAAAGAGATATCAAAGAGAAAAACTTATTGGTAAACCCTTAAAGAATAGCTCTGTAGGTGCTATCTCATTTCTCGTCATCCATTTTGCCTCTTAAAAGCTTGAGTTTGGCTGGATTCGGTGGCTCATACCTGTAATCCTAGCACATCCTGGGTAGATCGCTTGAGCCCAAGAGTTTGACACCAACTTGGGCAACACAGCAAAATCCCATCTGTACGAAAATAAAAATAAAAAAATAGCTGGGTGTGGTGGTACAGACTGATAGTCCCAGCTGTCTGGGAAGCTGAGGTGGGAGGAGACAGAGGTTGCAGTAAGCTGAGGTTGTGCGACTGCACTCCAGCCTAGGTGACAGAGTGAGACCCTGTCTCAAAAAAACAAAAGCTTAAGTGCCTGAGTTTTACCATATTGCCCCTCACGTTTAGATTCAAGAGGTCCCACTTTTAGTAATCAGAGTTAGACTGATGATCCATGACACCAATGTATTCATTTGGGCCAATATGTTGACTAGTTAGTGCACTGTCTTCCCCCAAAAGAAACCAAATTATAAGAGACTAAATTATTCTCAAGGCTGCCAGATTAGCATTATATCAAAGCAAAAGGATAACGTTAGCCATTTCTAGTATGGAGAGATAGCAATCATGACTGTACTCTTTTTTTTTTTTTTTTTTTTGAGACGGAGTTTCACTCATGTTACCCAGGCTGGAGTGCAATGGCGCGATCTCGGCTCACCGCAACCTCCGCTTCCTGGGTTCAGGCAATTCTCCTGCCTCAGCCTCCTGAGTAGCTGGGATTACAGGCACGCACCACCATGCCCAGCTAATTTTTTGTATTTTTAGTAGAGACGGGGTTTCACCATGTTGACCAGGATGGTCTCGATCTCTTGACCTCGTGATCCACCCGCCTCAGCCTCCCAAAGTGCTGGGATTACAGGCTTGAGCCACCGCGCCCGGCCGCGACTGTACTCTTTATAGATTCCTGTTCATAGCACTTAGTATCCTTAAATGAGTTTTAAGATAATTGGGCAGGTTAGTTACTTGAATATCTTCCAAGTTTTTCAGATGTGTTAACTCTATAGTGGTGTCATACAGGTTATGATACTTTTTAATTTTAACCTCAGAATGGTCTTTTTCTTGTCACCAAATGCTGGGACACTCTATTATAGTCACCTATGTATGCCAACTAAATTTGGGGCTCTAAAGCTCTAAGATTAGGCCCAGTGTGGGGGCTCATACCTGTAATCTCAGCACTTTGGGAGGCCAAGGTGGGTGGATCACATGAGGTCAGGAGTTCGAGACTAGCCTGGCCAACATGGCGAAATCCTGTCTCTATGAAAAACACAAAAGTTAATCGGTGTGGTAGCAGACACCTGTACTCCTAGCTCCTCGGGAGGCTGAGGCAGGAGAATCGCTTGAACCTGGGAGGCGGAGGGTGCAGTGAGCCCAGATCGCACAACTGCATTCCAGCCTGGGCAACATGAGCAAGACTCTGTCTCAAAAAAAAAAAAAAAAAGCTCTAAGATTTTATGACATCATGAGGCAGATGTCAACTCTGCCGGCATTTAGGGCATATTTAGGCCTTAACCTGAGATCAGTATTAAGAAGTCATGATCAGGAGAAGGGAGTATCTTAATTATCGGCATTTCTTTGGTATATTCTTGGGTTCTTTATTCCTAGGTAGATTTCGGGCAGACAACTTGAACAAACTGAAGAACCTATGCAGCAAGACAATTGGAGAGAAAATGAAGGTAAGAGAACTGAGAAACAGCCATGAGAGCTTGAACGGAGATATTTGATCTTGCTCTTAGCTAGTGTTCACTGAAGTTCTAACTCAGTGTTTAAGTCTACAAGATGCTTAATTTCTGTAGGGGGAAATGTTTTAAAAAGAAAGAGAGGCAGGGAACTTAGAGGGGCTTTCAAATACTTTACCCCAAGTCTGTCTTCTGTGTTCAGGTAAGATTCTTATCTCACTAACCATTTGTTGTCTATTCTGTTCTTACGTTAGGAATATAAATTCCACCAGTCATCTTTTCCAGGCTCAACCTGTGGTGCCAGAAAGGATTTCTTATGGCACATTTCAGATTTTTCATCTCAGTACAGTCATGCTCCATGATGAAAATGGTACAGCCTCCCCCCCCCCAAAAAAAAAGAAAATAGTACAGATTCAGAGTTCAAATCTTGCTAAGTTACATGACTTTCAGGCAAGTTTATGTCTAAGCCTCAGTTTTCTCATCTGTAAAATGACGATACTAACACACCTATAGAATGGAATTGTTAGAACCTTTTCTTAAATTTAAATGCCAAGCAATGGTTATGGATAGAATTAAATTTCTTTTAAATGTAGAAAACTGGGCACGATGTCTAGAACATGTAGTTGGTCAGTAATTGTGAGTTAAAAGGAATGCCAAGTAATGTTACTGGACTTCGTCCAAAAAAAATCCTTCCTATGCTTGAAAAATACTAAGTTTCAGCTCAGCTCTTGCTTTGGTATCCAGAATAGTTCATGTTTTTTAACATTTCTTCAAAAATAACCTGTTTAGCCTCTCAATCATACTACATTACATATGATAGCTGGGTGTGGTAGCTCACGCCTGTAGTCCCAGCACTTTGGGAGGCCAAGGTGGGCAAATTGCTTGAGCTCAGGAATTCAACACCAGCCTGGGCAACATGGTGAAACCCTGTCTCTACAAAAATAAAATAAAATAATTAGCCAGGCATGGTGGCCCATGCCTGTGGTTCAGGAGGCTGAGGTGGGAGGATCACTTGAGCCCAGGTGGTAAAAGTTGCAGTGAGCCAGGATTGTGCTACTGAACTCCAGCCTGGGTTTCCAGCGAAACCCTGTCTCCCCTCCGCCAAACAAAAAACAAAAAATAAATTAAGTGAACTTTACAATCTAGATTACTTTTAAGTTGTAAACCTCAAAACTAAACAACAACAACAAAAATTATAAAACTTTGGAACCTACACCAGTAAAGAGCACAAAAAGATTGCCTTGGGATTCTGGCACCTTCCACTTGACTTCATGATAGTCTGCATCTTTCTTTCTTTTTTTTTTTTTTGAGACACAGTTTTTGCTCTTGTTACCCAGGCTGGAGTGCAATGGCGCAATCTCGGCTCACTGCAACCTCCGCCTCCTGGGTTCAGGCAATTCTCCTGCCTCAGCCTCCTGAGTAGCTGGGATTACAGGCACGTGCCACCATGCCCAGCTAATTTTTTGCATTTTTAGTAGAGACGGGGTTTCACCATGTTGACCAGGATGGTCTCGATCTCTTGACCTCGTGATCCACCCGCCTCGGCCTCCCAAAGTGCTGGGATTACAGGCTTGAGCCACCGCGCCCGGCTTTAGTCTGCATCTTTCTCTGACAACATTTTGTTACACTTTCAGCATGTAACACTTTTAGCTGTGAAAAGTGATATTGATAATCATGCAGTTGCTTTCTGTGGGACTTAATCATTCTCATGAGAGAGGCCCCATAATTATGTTAATTCCCATGTATACTCCTCCTTGGGTGTTCTTTGGGATCTATGTACAGTTAGTGCCAGCTGGGTATTTTTTGTAGCAAGAAGATGGGATTGTGAGTGTTGTCATTTACAATAACATTCTTAGATCTGATTTTGTTGCTAGCCATGCAGGGAGTGTTCACTCCCGCTGCCATTGAAATGGTAATAATAGTGCTTTAATTTGTAGAGCTCGAAAACATTCAGATACTTTCACAGACATCTCATTTTGGTTTTGATCCTTACTGCAAATAGAACATGGAGTGCAGATAGTACATTTATCAGCCCTATTTAAAGGGTAAGGGAATAGTCTTAGGAAATTATAAAGAGCTGATTTAAAATCATACCGTAATGTAGTTGCAGAGTCAAACCTTGAGCTCAGAACTTGAATTTGCCGCTCTGGGGGACTGTCAAACAGCAAGGGAGGCTGGTAACATATGCTCACTCTGCCTATGATGCCATTGTAAAAATCTTGAGATATTAGTCAATTTTTTTCCTACTTCTGTAGTCTGTGTTTGTTCTTATCTAGACTCATTATGATAGCTTCAGATTTTTCCAAGTTTTTTTCTTTTTTTAAGACAAAGTCCCATTTTGCTGCCCAGGCTGGAGTGCAGTGAGACAGTCATGGCTTACTGCTTTCTCAACCTCCTGAGCTTAAGTAGCCCTCCTGCCTCAGCCTCCCTAGTAGCGTGCCACCACACTCGGCTAATTTTTTTTTTGTAAAGACAGAGTTTCCCAATGTTGCCACTGGACCTGGCCAGATTTTTCCAACTTTTTAAGATGATTTTGCTCTGAGTCACTGAAGGGTGTGAGTGGAGTTATGGTTAGAATTTTGACTGTATGAGAATGTATAATGAACCTAAAGGATTTCCATGCTTTACATTTAGAAGATTTAGTGCTTTCGGTCTTTCTTTTCTTTTCTTTTTTTTGAGACAATGTCTTGCTTTATTGCCCAGGCTGGAGTGCAGTGGCATGATCATAGCTCACTGGAGCCTCCAACTCCTTGGCTCAAGCAGTCCTCCCACCTCAGCCTCTCAAGTAACTAGGACTGTAGGCACATGCCACTGTGCCTGGCTAATTTTTTAAAAAGCCAATGCTAGAGTGCATTGGCATAATCATAGCTCACCACAGCCACTAATTCTTGGGCTTAAGCAGCCTCCCATCTCAGCCTCCCAAGTAGCTGAAACTACAGGTGCACTCCACTATGCCTGCATGGTGGCTCACACCTGTAATCCCAGCACTTTGGGAGGCTGAGGAGGACAGATCATGAGGTCAAGAGATCGAGACCATCCTGGCTAACATGGTGAAACCTCGTCTCTGCTGAAAAAAAATGCAAAAATTAGCTGGGTGTGGTGGCGTGCGCCTGTAGTCTCAGCTACTCGGGTGGCTGAGGCAGGAGAATCGCTTGAACCCAGGAGGCGGAGATTGCAGTGAGCTGAGAGCATGCCACTGCACTCCAGTATGGGTGACAGAGTGAGACTCCATAAAACAAAAAAAGAATCCATACGCGGGTGTGTCTGCTCCAGGGCCTGCTCCTGAGCACTGCACTGTCTCTCCAATGCTTATAGCTCATGAGCATTTCAAATAAATTCTCTTCTGATTCCTGTGATGATCTATGTACAGGGAATGACATTCTTCTCATGTTCTTCAGGATGTTAATTCTCTGACCCAGACAGATTAATTGATTTTAGGATCAAAAAGCTATTCAGTGGCAGCACAGGGACTTGAAACTTTGACTTCTGGCCTCCAGTGTACTAATTTTTCTCCTACATGTTGAATCTTTTAGAAAAATTTATGTAAGAAGTCTGTGATTCCTTTATACAATATGTTAATTTGGTCTACACTTTATAAAACGCTAGAGATTTTCTTTTATTTAGTTGTGTTGGGTTTTTTTCCTTCCTGCAGAAAAAAGAGCCAGTGGGAGATGATGACTCCATCCCGGAGAATGTACTGAATTTCGATGACCTTACTGCAGACACTTTAGCTGTAAGTTACAGTCCTTTTTTAAGTTAGAATCTCTGCTATTTTGTCTTAATTTATTCCTAGACAGCAAGTGCTCACACTCTGCTCTACACAGCATTGTGGCATCCTTTAATTTCTGCTGCTAATTTCTGCTGCTGGGAAATGTCCCCACCCATTCTTGTTATATTCTAAACTTGAGTATTAGACAGCAGAGATGGAGACAGATGGAGTGGGAGAGTCAAGGGTAGGAAGAATAGAAAAAGGAAAGGGACTGTGTTTGGTTATATAACTCCATTTTCTACCCTTTGTTTCACAAAGGCAAGAAACCTCAGTTGACTATAATACAGTAAATATTCAGTACGCTGGGCAAGAACAGTAATTTTTGAGTTTTTTAGTCAATGAACCCTTTTTTGAAACCCTTAACATATAGAAGAACATAAACCAAAAAAGCAAAGTTGCTGTGCTTGAAGGGCTGGGGTTGGGGGCCTAAGCCTGCCTCGTCCACTGCTAAGGGCTCACCTCAAAGAAATAAGAGCACACTTTGGAACACTTGCAATACAAAATATAAAATATGCTTCAGACAAATCTCTTACTCCTAATGCATTTATAATCTTCCTAGGGAACAGTTAAATGCAGCACATCAATAGAGTGCTAAATTGGCTCAGTCAACAAAATCAGAAAGTGGAAATTAAGGAAAAGTCCTCTTGAGAGAGTGACAGTACTAAAATTCCTGAGATGTAAGGGAACAATAGGAGTGGCCAGAACTGTCCATCTCTGCCCTAAGCACCCCCAAAGAAAAATGCCAATGGATTGGTAGGGCAAGACTATATATCCGTGTGTGAAATAAATCTCAGTTCTTCAAAAGTCTTCATTTCCAGTTTTTAAAATGCTACCACAAGGGCTATCCTTAGAGCACAATAGGGTTAGGGCAACACAATCTTATTCCTGTGCTGTCCTTGCCTCACTGCCCTGCTTACGGGCCTGGCCTGTTCATCTACAGAACCTGAAAGTCTCACAAATCAAAAAAGTCCGACTCCTCATTGATGAAGCCATCCTGAAGTGTGACGCTGAGCGGATAAAGCTGGAAGCAGAGCGGTTTGAGAACCTTCGAGAGATCGGGAACCTTCTGCACCCTTCTGTGCCCATCAGTAACGATGAGGTAGGAGGCTGTGCCGCAGCAGGAGTCTGCCTCACATCGCTGCTGTCTCTGCTGAGGCGGGGACGGGAGGAGACATGTGGAATGTGGAACGCTGGCACTCCCTGTCAGAAGCAGGTTCTTTGTATATGCTCTCTGTCCACCAATTGAGAATTGCAGGAGTCAGATCCTTGTCTGATTGGGAAGTAGCAGAGACAGCAGGTAGGAGGAGACTCCTGGCACAGAAATCTCTTCTAAATAGGGCTGCTGTCCTCCACTGTGTGTTGCCTGTGGTAGCAGGCGTCTCGTGGGAGGGATCTGCTAAATCAACCTAACCCCCTCACCCACACCCTGCTGAGAAGCTGCAGGTTGAAGGGAAATCTGCATGATAAAAGTTTCCTGCTGAGCGGGAGCTTCCCCTGCACAAAGCTGCTCTGAGCCCAGCCTTTGTTCCCTGACACCCCAGCCGAAGCAGGGCCCATCTGTGCCTCTTTCATTCATTCCCTGGTGAACATTAAACTCACTGCAGGCTGGGGTATGCCGGAGGCTGCAGAGCACAGACCTTGAGCAGACTCCGGAGGTCAGGGCCGTGAGTCCGCCCTCCTGTGGCCCTGGGACCAATGAGAGCATGGAAAAAAAAAAAAAAATCTACATTCTCCTCTGCACCCCAGGCAATGTCAATTGTCTGGGAAGGGTTGTCCTTGTGCAGGATTTGAGGGGTAATTTAAAAGGGTAAAAAAAAAACAAAACAAACAGAATACTATAGAACTCTTGGAAAATTATCATTCCCAGTTTTATGGCTAGAATTACTTCTCTTTTTTTTTTTTCTTTTTCTTTTTTTAAGCAGTGAGATCTAAGTTTATCATGGCTAGAATTACTTCTCAAACTTTGTAAGTTATTACTTGTCCATTGAGTAGCAAGTTGCCTTCTCTAGTTATGATACACAGTAGTGTTTGAGTTAAGCAATGGCTTCACAAAGCTAAGTTGTTCTTGGAATAAAGTTGGAAAGATGGGGGTTGTAAAATTAAGAAATCATGTATCAGGCTTGGCACCGTGGCTCACCCCTGTAATCCCAGCACTTTGAGACGCCTAGGCACACAGATCGCTTGAGCCCAGGAGTTAGAGACCAGCCTGGGCAACATGGCAAAACCCTGTCTCTACAAAAAATACAAAAATGAGCCAAGCGTATTGTCGCACGGCTGTAGTCCCAGTGAGGCTGAAGTGGGAGGATCACTGGAGCCTGGAAGGTTGAGGCTGCAGTGAGCCAAGATTATGCCACTATACATCAGCCTGGATGACAGAGTAAGACCTTGTCTACACACACACACACACACACACACACACACACACACACACACACACACTCTATTAATTTAAAATATAATAAAACCATATGTCATGTATCTTTCTTTCTTGGTCTGTTTCCTTAGGATGCAGACAACAAAGTAGAGAGGATTTGGGGTGATTGTTCCGTCAGGAAGAAGTACTCTCATGTGGACCTGGTGGTGATGGTAGATGGCTTTGAAGGCGAAAAGGGGGCCGTGGTGGCTGGGAGTCGAGGGTACTTCTTGAAGGTAAGAGCTGGGAACCAGTGGGGATAGAATTAGGTGGAGAAACATAACCTACTTCCTACTTAAAGAGGCCCACAGATCTACCAGTTGTACTCGCCTTTCTGCAAATGTATTGGCAATTAGATGCAATTCTCTTTCTAAAGCAAGAGAGGGCTTATCAGGATTCCATAGAACAAAAGCCACTAAGTGGTCCTCCATAATGAATGTATGTTTTGCTGACTGAATCAGAACAGTCTCTGCCTTTAAGTAGCTCAGTATAATTGGACAGTCAGACAAGTAACAAAGAATCAAAATCTACTGTCATAAGCGCTGTGGTTTGTGTAGGCCCAAAGTGCTTTGAGAGCATAAAGAGAATTCTCTCAACGGCATGCCTGGATGATACGCTGTTACTTGCTTCGGTGTTTGGAATGAATCTCAAGGTTCAGAATGTCAGTTGTTGTAATCCGTGGCCTTTTTTGGCCTCCTGTGTGACCCTAGGTAGTCCTGTTCTCTTGCCCCAGGGTGTCAGCTGTAGCTGAACATGGTGGTAACAGGACCCAATCACACGGTACTGTGTCTCTGCTCCTCTAGGGGGTCCTGGTGTTCCTGGAACAGGCGCTCATTCAGTATGCTCTTCGCACCTTGGGAAGTCGGGGCTACACTCCCATTTATACCCCCTTTTTCATGAGGAAAGAGGTCATGCAGGAGGTGGCACAGCTCAGCCAGTTTGATGAAGAACTTTATAAGGTGAGTAGCCCGGGGCATGTGGCAGAATGACTTCTTTAGTTATGTAGCTTAACTTCATTGATACAGAGTGGCGCTGTCCAAAAGAACTTTCTGTGATGATGGAAACATTGTCTGTGACTCTTGAGCATTTAAAATGTGGGTGGTGCAACTGAGGAAGCACATTTTTAATTTTAATTAATTTTAACTTAAACATGTAGCTAATGACTACCATATTAGACAGTGCAGCTGCAGAGCCTCTTTTACCTTTTCCTGGGTAATCTGTATGATGTCTATAAATTCAGCATACTTGAACACCATGAGCTTAGAAAAGAAGCCCATTCAGGCCGGGCACAGTGGCTCACACCTGTAATCCCAGCACTTTGGGAGGCCAAGGCAGGCAGGTCACAAGGTCAGGAGATGGAGACCATCCTGGTCAACATGGTGAAACCCCATCTCTACTAAAATACAAAAAATTAGCCAGGCATAGAGGTGCACACCTGTAGTCCCAGCTACTTGGGAGGCTGAGGCAGGGGAATCACTTGAACCCAGGAGGCAAAGATTGCAGTGAGCTGAGATCATGCCACTACACTCCAGCCTGGCAACAGAGGGAGACTCTGTCTCAAAAAAAAAAGAAAAGAAGCCCATTACTGGGGGCTTGGACAAAAGGAAATTACAGTGGTGGCACTGATCTCCTAGTCCACTTCTCATGTCCTCCCATTCCAAACCCCAGACTGGAAGCTTCCACAGGGTGAGACATAACTTGCCTTGGGATGGAGGTGGCTTCCAGTCTGTGGCCCCTTCTCAACCATGGACCATGTCAGGGAGAGACAGACAATTCAAGTCAAGGTTCAAAAGGTCATTGTGATCAACTGGCTCTAACACCAATAACAACATCCTACTCTGTGTTGAGCACCAAGATTTCTAGCGCGTTTCTGCTAACAGCTGTCTATCAGCAGTGTCTACTATTTATCTGTCCCTCCCTTTCAACTCTTCTGTCAGAAATAGGAACTTAGTTCTTCTTTTTACATTTTTTTTTAAAGACGGGGTTTCACCATGTTGGTCAGGCTGGTCTTGAACTCCCGACCTCAGGTGATCCACCCGCCTTGGCCTCCCAGAGTGCTAGGATTACAGGCATGAGCCACTGCGCCCGGCGGGACTTAGTTCTTACTGGCTTATTTCCTCTCCAGACAGTGGAGGAAGAGTTAGACAACTGCTGTTGGGCTCATCTAATTTATATAGGGAGATAGTTCAATAATTAGAACAATCTTTCCATTGGTTCTGTTGATGAGGTCAAAGTTAAGTTTTCATTCAAGACGCACTGGGAAACAATGCTGTCTCTAAACCCTGAGCATTAGTATAACCTTGACTTCCTCCCTCTCTTCTTTCTTTTAATGAACGAAGGAATGTGTTTCTTTATCGACTAAAACCTGTTTTGCCTTTTCTTTCTTTTTCTAATTTCAACTCCTAAGATTAGATAATCACTAACAGAACATTGGAAATGTCCACTGCACAAGAATACAAAAAAAAAAAAAAATTAAAAATTAAAAAAAATTAAGTTAAAAAAAAAAAGAAAGAAAGAAATGTCCACTGCAGGTAACCAACCTGAGGGAGAAACCTATATGGAGTATTATGGAAACTATTAGGTAGCTGGTGTTCCCTGAGTCCTGCATTCTCCATCTCTTATCTCCAGATGCTTCTTGTACCCACAGGCAGGAAGAATCACAGGTTTCAATAGTGAAGAATTTGGCTGGCACTACCTCAGTTGTGGCTGGGCATGGTGGCTCACACCTGTAATCCTAACACTTCGGAAGGTTGAGGCAGGTGGATCATGAGGTCAGGAGTTCAAGACCAGCCTGGCCAAGATAGTGAAACCCTGTCTGTACTAAAAATAGAAAAATTAGCCCGGTGTGGTGGCAGGCACCTGTAATCTCAGCCACTCGGGAGACTGAAGCAGAGAATTGCTTGAACCCAGGAAGTGGAGGTTGCAGTGAGCCGAGATCACATCACTGTGCTCCAGCCTGGGAAGCAAAGCAAGACTCCGTATCATAAAAACAATCCTTGGTTCTGTAAGAATGAATATAGCGCTACCAAATAGAACTTTCTGCACTGTTGGAAATGTTCTCTAAGTCTGCATGATCCAGCGTGGCAGCCATCAGCCACATGTGACTTGAGCACTGAAAATGTGGCTGATGCAACTGAGGAACTAAATTTTAATTTTAATTTAATTTGTTTTTATTATTTTTAAAAATTAATTTCTTATATAGAGACAGGGTCTCACTATATTGCCCAGACTGATCTCAAACTCCTGGGCTCAAGCAATCCACCTGTCTCAGCCTTCCAAAATGTTGGAATTATGGAATTACAGATGTGAGCCACTGCGCCCAGCCCAATTTAATTTAATTTAAATAGTCGTATGTGGCCAGCTATACCGTATTAGGCCACACAGCCCTAGAGCTTTCCTGTGTTGTATGTGAATGACCCCACAAGTGGCTAAATTTCTTCTGCCAGGTAGCAAGGTAGTTTTCCAAACCTCTAAACACTGACCCAGGGGAACCTTTCTTCCTTACTTTTTTTTTTTTTTTTTTATTAAAATACTGCTACATGACAGAAAATTTAGAAATGGCAGGGGGAATTTTCTGCTTTTCCATGACCTACTGGGAAGCATTAGATGACCTAATATAACAACTGTCATCTTAAAATATTCATTTTGTGATTTTTTTCCATACATATGTTGTTTTCACATACTTATAATTGCCATGTACATAAATTGCCTTTTTACTTGGCATTATTTTTTATTTTTATTTTTGTTTATGTATTTATTTTTGGAGACAGAGTCTAACTCTATTGCCCATGCTGGAGTGCAGTGGCACGATCTTGGCTCACTGTAACCTCCACCTCCCAGGTTCAAGTGATTTTCGTGCCTCAGCCTCCCGAGTAGCTGGGATTACAGATGTATGCTACCACACCTGGCTAATTTTTGTATTTTTAGTAGGGAAGGTATTTCACCGTATTGGCCAGGCTGATCTTGAACTCCTGACCTCACATGATCTGCCCGCCTCGGCCTCCCAAAGTGCTGGGATTACAGGCATGAGCCACCGTGCTCATCTGCCTTTTTACATAGCATATCAAAAGTGTTCTTCTGTGTTACTGCATGGTCGTCATTGTTATGGTTGTATAATATTCCATAAATAATGTTTCAGTGAACTTTGTCCTGTCCGAACTTTTTTTGTTTTTTGGTGTTTTTTTTTTTTGCATTATTTTCTTCGGCTGAACAGCAAAGTATATTCTTTAAGGATTATAACCACTAGACTAACCCTTAAGCACCAAGAAAGCAGAGGCTGGTGTCCCTTTTTGCTCCATGTTGGTGTTTAGTAAATGCCTCACAAATACTAATTTATGTAGCTACCGGCCGGGCACGGTGGCTCACACCTATAATCCCAGCACTTTGGGAGGCCAAGGCGGGTGGATCACAAGGTCAGAAGTTCGAAACCAGCCTGACCAACATGGTGAAACCCCATCTCTACTAACAATAGAAAAATTAGCCAGGCATGATGGCACGTGCCTGTAGTCCCAGCTATTCAGAAGGCTGAGGCAGGAGAATCCCTTGAACCCAGGAGGCAGAGGTTGCAGTGAGCCAAGATCCCGCCATTGCACTTCCAGCCTGGGCAACAGAGTGAGAGTCCATCTCCCAAAAAAAAAAAAAAGAGGAGTGGAAAATATTCTCTCCTCTTAATTTACATTTTTTTTGTCTCTGTCAGGAACCCCATTTTGGACTGACCCATTCCCTCATCTTTTTGGTATTCTCTCCCCACTCCCAGGCAGGGATTAAAGGAAATTTTTCCTGTATTATCATTGCTATCTTTCTTGTGGTTTCTTATTCTAGCCAAGGTCCTCCACTCTTCCTCTTAACTGGTATAGGTCCTTCCTTCCATAGGTGATTGGCAAAGGCAGTGAAAAGTCTGATGACAACTCCTATGATGAGAAGTACCTGATTGCCACCTCAGAGCAGCCCATTGCGGCTCTGCACCGGGATGAGTGGCTCCGGCCGGAGGACCTGCCCATCAAGTACGCTGGTCTGTCCACCTGCTTCCGCCAGGAGGTGGGCTCCCATGGCCGTGACACCCGTGGCATCTTCCGAGTCCATCAGTTTGAGAAGGTGAGTAGATGGGTCAGGGTAAGGAGTGGAACTTTCTCTCTAGGATGGTTAGACGAGAGACAGGATCTGTGCTGCTGAGGCCCAGCCTGGCTCCAGCTTTTCCTCTCATCGCTTCCATCTGTGGATCTGGGGAAACGCATGGTGGAGTGGCTTGGAATATGGACTCTGAAACCAGACTGCGGCTCTACCACTTACCAGCTGTGTAACGTTGGGCAAAATGCATAGGCCCCCAGTGCTCCGTTTCTGCCTTTGTGCGAGGAGGAAAACTGTAACAGTGCCTGCTCACCAGGCCTGTTGTGGCCTATTGTGAGGATTATCCCAGTCAGTAGACGTAAAGCACACAGAGTAGTGGCTGACGTGCACATGGGAAGCTCGTGCCATAAGTATTTGCTCTTGTTGTGGTCCAGTCCCAGTTGCTGGGGTCCCAGCTTTGCCTGCCTCGCAGTGGTATGGAAATGGGCCTTCACTGTAAGGATATCTCCTGCTTCAGTCCTTTATTCACCCTATACTGCTATCACCCTCTCCTTGGGTCCCTCTCTGCAGATTGAACAGTTTGTATACTCATCACCCCATGACAACAAGTCCTGGGAGATGTTTGAAGAGATGATTACCACCGCAGAGGAGTTCTACCAGTCCCTGGGGATTCCTTACCACATTGTGAATATTGTCTCAGGTATGGGACCCAGCCTCTTCTCACCCTCCCTTTCCTGCATCCTGCAGACGCCACCCTCCCCTGAGCCCCCACACAGAGAAACAGCTCACAATTCAAGTCATGGCTCACATTAATTAAAATATTACACGCTTCTCACTTGGGAGTATTTGGTGATAAGAATATCTGGATGTGATTTCACTTCTGGAGACAGGACATGAATTAAAGAATTCTTCAGGCTTGCTAAAGGTTAGGCTTCTGAAATACCATCCCTCCTTCATGAGTTGGAGGGGTTTTTCCTTACAGGTTCTTTGAATCACGCTGCCAGTAAGAAGCTTGACCTGGAGGCCTGGTTTCCGGGCTCAGGAGCCTTCCGTGAGTTGGTCTCGTGTTCTAATTGCACGGATTACCAGGCTCGCCGGCTTCGAATCCGATATGGGCAAACCAAGAAGATGATGGACAAGGTAGATGGCCCCCAGGGAGGTGGGAAGCAGAGCCTTCAGTACACAGCCTGTCTGTCTTATTTCTCAGCCTTTGGGGTGCATTGGTCCCCAGCATCATGGGAAAATCTGAGCTTCTCAATCTAGACCAAAAAGGGAATCTGAAAATGCCTTCTGAGTCAGGACTGAGTTCTTTTAGCTAGAAACCTGAATCTAGCTCTCTTCTATAAGGTAATTCTAGCTTTTCTCTTTCTGGCTTTGTTTTTCTTAACTCCAGAGAAAGGATAATCTCCATTTATCTACACAGAACAAGTTGGAGGCTTCCCACTTCTCACCCAAGAAGGTCTGGGTTGTAAGCTCTCTCTTTAAACCCAATTTTCAGGCCCTACTCTTTTCCAAGTCAGGGGCTTGAAAGGGGTGAAAAGGAGAGGCCACAGTAGTAGTTTCTTCCTTCCCTCAAAGGGCCCAACTCCTCAAAATACCAGAACCTACCGTGTGTCACTCATGGAGACATGAGGGATCTTTCTGCAGTTACCTAATAGGCAGTAAACACCAAATAATTCAGGTTTGGAAAAAAGTTGCTAAGGGGTAGAACCCATCACTTTGATCTGACAGTTACGGTTGGGGAAGTCTCGTTGAATGGATGGTTCCTGGCCATCAGTAAGACCAGCTGAGAGTTGAGCCCAACGTTCCCTCTGGGACCCTGTCTTCCCAGGTGGAGTTTGTCCATATGCTCAATGCTACCATGTGCGCCACTACCCGTACCATCTGCGCCATCCTGGAGAACTACCAGACAGAGAAGGGCATCACTGTGCCTGAGAAATTGAAGGAGTTCATGCCACCAGGTAAAACTCCCAGCTTAGCTCATCATCATCCTCTTTTCTGTCTTCACACTCCTCTAAATAGCAGGCCACTTTCAGGAGGTACCAGGTTTTTTTGTTCAGACACAGCCCCTGAAACTGCCCTCTAGGGCTGGGAAGGGCAGGGGGCCTGGTTGAGAAAATAACCCGTGCAGTTATGATACTGAAATGCTACTAAAATTCAGACTAGGGAAGAAAAGAATAAAGGAAACCGGTGCCTATCAAAGGGACCCCTCTGTTCAAAGGGATCATCATCTTGTTGAATTCTCCCCAGAGGTCTTAGGGCTTTAACTCCCTGAGAAACAATAGGTCATCTGGTTGGCTCTTCCCTCCCAGGACTGCAAGAACTGATCCCCTTTGTGAAGCCTGCGCCCATTGACCAGGAGCCATCAAAGAAACAGAAGAAGCAACATGAGGGCAGCAAAAAGAAAGCAAGAGACGTCACCCTGGAAAACCGGCTTCAGAACATGGAGGTCACCGACGCCTGAACATTCCTGCCTCCCTGTTTGCCAGGCTTTCATTTCTGTCTGCCGAGATCTCAGAGCCTGCCCAAGAGCAGGGAAGCCACGCACCCATTCATCGCCCTGCCCCCATCTGATTATGTAGCTAAGAGGGGAACAGTGCCACGTACCGCACAGATGTTCCTGTCTCCTCGCATGGACATAGGAACCCATCACCGATGACTGATGAAACCGTGTAATAAAGCATCTCTGGGGAGGGCTTAGGACTTTTCCTCAGTCTTCTTCCTGGGACTTGAACCCTGCCTCTGATGGTTCTCCCTGATACTCATTTCTGCTTTTCCTTCCAAATTTGGCTGCTCCCTCTAGTTAGCAACTCACAGAGCCTTTAAATAAGTAGGTGAAGGGACGGGTATACTTAGAAGAGGCTCAAGGGGAAGGTGGAAAATGGAGTCTGAAACACACAAGCTTGCAGGGCAAGGGCCAGGATCCTCCTTTACGAATATGTTCCTGCTTGAAATCATTGAGGTAGGACTAGTTTAGACAAGAACTGATGTAAAAGCCTCTTAGCACTTCTGTTCCCTATCAAGGGCTCCATGGAAAGGAGGAGGCTGTATTTAATCCAGAAGAGCCCCTAGCTTCTATCCCGAGCACGGCAGTTTCTCTCTTTACAGCATCCCCACATGGGGAGACCAACTAACTGCATAGCATCTTGCTGCTGCGACTCCAAAGGACTGAGATAGCCAGCAGAGCAGAAGGGAGGAGAAAAATGCTGCAGTCCCTTCCCTGGAGCTCCCACTGTTGCCCTAATAGCCAGTTCCTTTCTCAGGGGAAGGTGATACTTAGGCTCTTTATTTACCTGCTGCCTTTCATCTGCAATCTACAAACCCTTTACTTTAATAACAGCTTCTGTTAGTTTAGTGCCTCTCTCTTGGGAGGTTAAAATACTCCCTATAGATGATCTCTTTTATCTTTGTGATGGTCCCAGAAGGTAGGGTGGGGACATGATTATATGATTATGCCTGTTCCATCCTTTCGAAGACAGAAATACTAGGACGGTAAGGGAGATGAGGCAACATGGCCTCGTGGAGGTTGGAAGTCCCAACTCCTTGGCAGTGCTTCATGTTTTTTGGGAGGTTGAGAGCTGGAATGTGAACTGGACTGTCACTTAGGAGCCTTTATCTCACCTCAGCTTCCTTAGTCCCTGAGCAGCAACTTCCCTGGGCCTGCTGGAGCACAGTACCAAGGAAAGGGGTCATGTGCTCTATTTTCCACTGGGGGCTTTGGATTGATCCTATTAATCTTGCTACTGGAAACCCTGTCAAAACTGGGCTGGGTGTGTGAAAGGGTGACACAGTGGCTTTCTTGCCTTGCCTGGCCATGCCAGCTGGGGGCCCACAGGCAGGCCGAAGCAGCCTGCCTGGACTGTAGCCCACTGCCCCCAACTCTGGGATAACAAAGCTGGGGCAAGGGGATAAACGGCAAGCTGCTCCTATTTGTAATTCAGAAGGACCAGAAACTCACATTACTGTGGCCCCAACTGTTTGGTTTGAAGAAATGCAGCTTACACAGTGAGCAGGAGGCTAGCTTTTCCCCACCCCCACCCCATTCCAGAAACCCACTGGGAACTCTCACATGGCCCTGAACACTCCGGCGCTACCTTAGAGGTCCCTATAGCTGCATGCTCTGCTCCCCATGCCTACCTGCTTTGGCTCCTGGTGCCCATGACCGTCCTACCAGTAGGAGGCTCTGTTTTTTTGTTTGTTTGTTTGTTTGTTTGTTTGTTTGTTTGAGACGGGTTTCGCTCTCATTACCCAGGCTGGAGTGCAATGGCACGATCTCAGCTCACCGCAACCTCCGCCTCCTGGGTTCAGGCAATTCTCCTGCCTCAGCCTCCCGAGTAGCTGGGATTACAGGCACGCACCACCATGCCCAGCTAATTTTTTTTGTATTTTTAGTAGAGACGGGGTTTCACCATGTTGACCAGGATGGTCTCGATCTCTTGACCTTGTGATCCACCCGCCTCGGCCTCCCAAAGTGCTGGGATTACAGGCTTGAGCCACCGCGCCCGGCTGGAGGCTCTGTTTTTAACCATTGCTCTGAAAGCTCTGGGCAGAAGCTGGGGCTCTTAGCCCCTGGGGACCCAGCTGACTTACCTGCTGGAGCTGGCTGCCTGGACTCCTCTCTGCTTTGTGCAGAGACCCTCCTGCCCTGGACAGCCCAGATTCCCCTGCCAGCCTTCTGGCTGGCTAGGAAGACAGCTGTATGGACCAACTGACCTGTTAGCAGAAAGTAACTGTAAGGGACCCCATGCTTCCAGAAGCAGGGACCCAGTGCTTCCCTAAGCCAGAGGAGAGAAAGCCAATGGTAATGAAGGCAAGGATGACTATAGCTGAGGTCTCTGCCCGCAGGCCATACACCTGGAAAGCACAACAGCAGGAGGGCAAACACAGTCACCAAGTGCTTACCCTGTGCCAGGTACCATTAGGAGCAGTGTCTACAGAAAATGCAAGAGTCCTTGCTCTCAAATAACTGTTGGGACAGGTGTGGTTCACCTTCCTCCAGAGAGAGGGAAAACCAGACTCTCCCGCCCGGAGGCAGTGGAATGGGGCTGATGCAAGCTTCATTTAGGAGGGGCTGACCCACCTGGAAGCTGAGCAGTTGGGAACAGGCCCAGATAGCCTAGACTCCACCCTGGTAGTTGCCTCCGCAACCCACGCCTGATGCCCTCATCCCTGGCACCTTGACCTGCCCCATCTCCAACCTCAGCTACCCGGGTTACCTCAGTTAGCAAACACCCTCCAGAAGCCTAGTGGAGTGAGTCAGAGCCCTGGGTCCCTCACCAACCCTGGGTTCCCACACCCAGGTATTCAGGCCCAAGATGCAGGTCTGGGTGCTTTAGGCAGGGAGTGAGGAAACTGGGATCAACTCTCTGGCCTCTCCACCAAGACAGACAACCATAAAAGCCAGGCTTCTAGAAACTAAAGAGGCAGGTAACTGGGGACCCACGTAAGACCAAGGGACCGCCTGTGCTCACAGTTCAGGCTGGGCAGGGCAGCTTGTTAGCCAAACACTGAAACCTCACTCCTGGGAACTGACATTCTCCTAGCCACCTGTCCTGCTTTTCCTCCCCTAAAGCTTTTCCGGTTTACCCCAGATCCTGAGAATGCCTCCTCTTCCCCAGCCCCCATCTCCAGGGAGGTGGGGAATAGTGTTGGGGCGGCCCTGGCTGCACTCCCAGGATGAGTCTGACAGACAGAGCCGGGATGGGCCCCAGAGAAATGTGCTACATGTCCCAGCCTGTGTCAGGATGCTTGGCTCCCCCACTTACCTCCCAGCATGGGGTTCCCCAGCAGCTCCTCCCAAGTACAAAAGGAGAGTGCATCCATGCAGCCTGGACTTGGCCAGGTCCTGGTGGGGCTGATGCCTTAGCCTCTGACATCGCCCTTTTAAGATCCCTCCCCGGCAAGGCACTGTGGCCCACTCCTGTAATCCCTGCATTTTGGGAGACCGAGGCAGGCAGATTGCCTGAGGTCAGGAGTTCAAGACCATCCTGGCTAGCATGATGAAACTGTTTCTACTAAAAATAAAAAAATTAGTGGAGCGTAGTGGTGCTTGACTAGCTACTTGGGAGGCTGGGGCAGGAGAATCACTTGAACCCAGGAGGCGGGAGCTGGAGATTGCAGTAAACCGAGATCATGCCATTGTACTCCAGCTTAGGCAACAAAAGGGAAATTCTGTCTCAAAAAAAAAGCCCTCCCCATGGGGGTGGGGTGGGGGTGCACCCAGCAATGTGCAGATAGCTCCCCATCCACCTGCCAGGAAAGAAGCCCTGAACTCCAGGTCTTTACCTCTCTGAGACCTTTGGGTGGAGGTAGGGTGTCCCAGCAACCTCCGAGAGAACCTCTTGTTCTGGAGGGCAGGTCCTCTCCTGCTGCTTTGACTGGCTGGTTCACGAGCCCTGCATTTAGACTGGTCCCCATCCCTCCATAGGACTTGGTTTCCTTCCCCAGACTACACAAGCCTGCTGTCAAAATGGCCTGGGAGTTTATTTTCATTGAAGTGTAAATTGCTGATAAGACGGTGTGACCTTCTGGGACAAGTGGTTTTTCAACCCTGCAGAAACTGAAGAATGAAGCTCCCATTTGGAATAGCCTTCATCCTTGCCTCCCTCCATCTTGTCTCAGAGAAAACCTTTTTTTTACTCGTCCAAAACCAGGTCTCATCTACTGTCCCGCTTCCCCTCAGTCCCGACCTGCTTACGTATTCCCCATCTGAAAACAGCCCTCCCGCAGTCTTGCCACTCCTGTCAAATTGCGATCCCATCTGGCTCCTCTCCCTCAAAGATTAATGAACAGTGGACACTTGCAGGCTCTGCTACCTCATTAACATTCCTGGCCCTCCTTCACCCCACCCTCTTCAGAGGGAAGGTGGAATGTTCCAGAGGGAACTGCACGAGGGGACAGGAAGAAGGCCTGAATGGCTGACAGTCTGACGCACAGAGTAAGGGTGATCCTGACTGGAGGCTGGAGACGTGGGCAGGGTCAGGAGCTGGTGCCTGACCCTAAATGCTGGCCTCCGCCTGCGCTTTCTGTGCTGCTCTGTGACCTCCACATGCAGGGCTCTCAAATCCATCATCTCTCATCTGAGCATCTCCAGCCACCCCCAGCATACATGTTGGGCATCTCCTCTTAGTTCAGGCACCCCAACACATACCTGAGACTCACCCTGGACAACTCCCCCCTGCTTCATCCCCAGGGGCCAGTCTGTTTCGCAGCCCCATTGAGTCTTCATCGCTCGGGTCTGCCCCCTTGACAGCCTGCTCCCTGGCCCCAGCACAGGCCCTCCTCCTGGACTATAACAGCCGCCTCCTTGCTGGTCTGCTGGACCTCAGCCCCTTCTTCCGGTGCAGCCTCCTCACTGTGCTAGAGTAGCCTGCCAGATGGCAGAGCCATGATCATCCCTCCCCTGCCAAAACACTTCAGATGGTTCCCCTCAACTTATAAGGTCCAGACTCCTCAGCTGGAGTCCCAGCTCACCAAATTGTAGTCCCAGTTCAGATTAGCGGCTCTCTGCTCCTGGTCCCCACTGCCCCCTCGGTTGCTTCCGTCCCGGCAATGACCGTGCGTTGTGCTTCTCCATGCTTGCTCACACTGTTCCCTCTGCCCCAATGCCTTTTCCTCCTGCCTACTTGTGGAATTTTTCCTTCCTCTTCAAGACAGCCAAATGTCACCTTCTTTAAAAAGCCCTCCCTAACACCTTCACCCCCACACAAAAATATTAGTGACTATAGCTCTGTGACAGC